GCTTTTTCCCCAGCTGTTTAGGAACAACGATTGAGAGGCCCTGCCCCAGCTGCAAAATGCATCTCAGCATCTCTAGGAACTCATCCAAGTGCCTTGAGAGCCTTTTTATGCAGAACTACTTCCACAGCTGGGCATTGTTCCTTAGGTATGGAGTCCCTGAAAATCTTGTTCTCCACTGTTTCTTCCGTGTTCTGAGCATTAGCGCTGAATTTGGCCTCACAGGCACCACAAGCAGAAATAGGAACTGAACTACTTGACTCTGCTCAGTCACAGGAGTGATGGCACCCACTACAAGAAATGCAGATGTTCACTGGATTAAGAGAGAGCTTTGTGAATACTACTCGTACCTATATGTTGAATGTAGGTTTGTAAATCCTTTTGTGAATTTACTCTACTGCTGCTGTGAGAGTAGAACGTGCAAGTGACAGGCAGAGGCGCTATGAAATCACAACAGAAGGTGGCAAATTTGATTAATTATTCATGTTTGCTGTTCATTTTATATCCAATGTTCTTTAATGCTTCCTCACATTTAATAATTTTTGCAGTGTATGGGGCTTCATACTTTAAAATCTTTCTACTATGACCACAAGTTTCAAGGCATACACTTTTAAAATGATCACAATGTCAGGGAAAAAGAAGGATGAGAAATTCAGAAGAAATGTTCGTTAGCCTAATATCCCATAGGAAAGGATAGATGCTTGTTTAGGCCGTTTCATTGTTCTTCAGTTCTACTGAGAATGGCCACATGACAAATTACTCATTAAATAACTGTTTTTAATCCACTGTAAATCAGTATTTTTTTCCTGTGGCTAATAGTCCACATATATCAATAAGCCACGATGATTAGATTACTCCTCTTTCTAAAACAAAGAAGTGTAATAGCTAAATAAGAATTGGTATTTAGAATTTAATTTTGTGCTTCTCCAAAGCATTTGAGTTAAAACCTCCAGATGAGATCCTAGGGGTAATTGTTTTTCTTTAACAAAACAGTTCAACTGTTTTAAAACTACTGAGAAGATTTACAGACTAAACAAATGTAATTGGGTCCAGTTTATATGTGTTTTTGCTAAACCCTTTACAAATAATGCTGTAGTTGAAAAAGAGAATCTGCAATAAACATTGTCTAAGATCACTGGGTATTTTGAGAAGTTTTGCTTCTGAAACTTGCTATATAGCAGAAATTGTCCAAGTTCCTCTAAATGGAATGAAGTTTGTGCTTTCTATCAGGGATGAGTAAAATATCATCTGTATCAGATTTCTTTGCACAAGACTGTAAATAAAATATTCACTTAAAATGATTTAATGTTGCTTAGAAATAACATCTAGTCACTGCAACCTTTCCAAGTAAGGAAATGTCTGAGGAACACAAACTTCACTGCCATATCAGCAGTCCCCCTTCGAGTGATGGCTCCACATGAACTCCCTTCTGCCTGACTAGGCAAACGAACATTTTTCCCCTCATGCTGTAGTGTAAAATTTTAATTACAAACTCGGCAACAGTGGCAAATATCCAGCACTGCTACATACACACAGGTTAAACACAAAGACCTCTATGAACTGTGGGAAAAATGCAATAATGCTTTGGTGATTTCATGTCTCATACTGTAGAAGAGGGCAGATATACACTAAAGTACAGAGTTAGTGAGTGGTAAGGTCTTCTGATTACCAGAGAAAGAGTTAGCACCTCAGTAAAGAAAGGAGACCTCAAGATTTCTGTCCTGTATCACCAAGAAGAGTAAGGCAGGAAGATAAGGCAAAACTAGAATGCTATATGGATCATCTTTCTTGGGTAAAGGACAATTTTGCTAAGTAGTTCAATAGGAGCACTATATGAAAAAAAATCATTACTTGAGAACTCTATATAATATGGTTTTAAGGCTGACAGCAGTGCCTCATAACTGCAAAATGTCCAGCATGTCCATTCCTCAACCTTTGAAAACTGGGGAATAAACAGTTAAAGTGAAACGCATATAGGTGTGAATAAGAGATTATTCAAGAACCATTGTTCACAGTTTCAGCCACAGTTTGTGAGCCGGGGGTGGAATTAGGACTATTTTTCATTGACCACTGTAACAGAGCACAGCTCCTTCACATCTTCATGTTTGCAGCATAAGATAAGTGAATGCAGAGCTGCAAGAACTACACTGTCATTCCTTCAGAACTTCAAGCTTCTAAGGATTCCTGAGGAAATAGGTAGGGTGACTGAGGGGGAATCAAATGTATGAATATTTTTAAAATACTCTGCTGAGTTTATAGATGAGAAACTTCTTTTCCTTCTACAAGTGCGATTCCATTTATGTGTTACACTCATGTGAGTGCTCTGACAAATTTTCCCTTAGCATAGTGCTTTGTAAGTGTCCATATCAGATGCTACACTGTCACCTTACAGATGCACTCAGTTTGGGCACCCTTTAGAGAAGTGGACCCCACAGTTTGGATGAGCACACATATTCTCATAGTTGTTGGGGTTTTTTTTTATTTTTAGTAAAATGATTTGATTCATAGGCATCTGAGGTTGGAGTAGTGCAGGAATGAACCTCATTTTTTATTCTTTTACCTGAGAAATTGTTGATACTTCCTGAACTACCTACTTCTCTCAGGAGATAGCAAAAAACCCTGTTTCTTTGATCAGGAGAGTTAAATCACTACCTTATTTGCCTTCTGTGCCTTCTGAAATGCCATGAGGACTTGAATTTTATAGACTTTACTTTTACAGTTACTTGTAATCAAGACTCAAGAGTTCTCCTGCTATTTGATCTGAAATGATTGTCAGGAGGAAAAACAGCTCCATATAGAGATACGAGAGAAGATCTGAAACACAAATTTATGTTGACCTTGCTGGCCTTAAATCTCAGAATCCATAAGAGAGATGTTCTACATTATACCAAAAGTCTTTTAACCAATTAGGAAAATGGCAAATGTAAGCATTTACAGATTAGGAACTATATTCAGAGGGGAATTAAATGCTACGACCCAAGACTGAAGACTCAGGCCTTCACAAGAGCAATTTGTGTCAATTGTCAAGTTAAGTCCCAAACTTCTGTGTATACTGAATGGGTTGGAGGACAGGGAGTCAAGCACCTAGACTGGGACTCACAACAGCCCAGTAACTGGAAGCTAGGATGCAAGACCAGACAAGAAAAAATTGACAAAGCAGACGATGTGATTGAAATTGTTTCTTGCATGGACTTATCTTAAGTATTTAGGTATAGTTGAGGGAGCAGTGTAATCTTCTTCAAATTAAGGAGAAATTGGCTGTTGTGGTAATGCCCATCTTTTGCCAAAACCTAGCAGTACCAGAAATACCCAGTGTTTTACCACAGGCGGAGTCACATCCTAGAATAGTAATCCTGCTACCAGCCTCTAGGGGTGGAGGTACATCTGCACTTTCTCGAATAAAGGCAGGTTGATATCTAATACTGCCACGAACTCAATTCTCACAGGGCCATAGGTGGACATAAATGATGATTAATGAAAACAGTGAGATATTCTACCTCTTGTTCCTCTGATTGCTTTCATTTTTCTTCCTTTTAAAATTTATAATTAATTCATGTAAACAGTATTAACACTCAGTGGAAGATGTTGAGGCTTCAGACCATCTCTCTCCCAGCCAGATGCTCTGATCACTAAGCCAAAGATTCAGATTCTCTTTAATCCCCCTTCCTTTGAGTACATTTCACATTTTTTGTTTCTGTGTTGCACATATTTGTTTGAGCAGGTGGAAACTGTGCTTGCATAAGTATTGTTGGGGTACTTTTCTTGAGCAGGTTTAGTCAACCTCTCAGATGAGAGCACGAATCAGGGGTCTAGTGTGAAAAGTGAACCTTTTCACTGATACCTGTTCGGGGAATCCGTGATGCGCTTCTCTGTTTCTCTTCTGATACCTTAAGGGCTTTGTTGGATTTATACTTAAACCTGCAAAAAGACTAGATTCCAAAAAAGATACAGAATCCCCAAATGAAGGTTCTCTAAAGGCTAGCTCAGATGATGTATGTGTACTATGCAGAGTACTGAAGTATGCAGGTACTGATGTTCTGATGCAAAAATTCTCCAGACTCTGAGTTTTTCTCAAGACTTGTGCAGAAGTGTCTTTGTCATGACTGCTGAGCAATAGAGGACCTAGGCGACTTGTGGGCCCCAACAGGGTTCATATGCTAGATGTATTTTCAACCCTCTTGCCTGAGGGCCTCAGTATGGTAGGTGCACTCAGAGCATGTCCTCTAGATTGGAACCACATAAAACCCTGCAGCAGTTTCTGCTTCCTATCACAGCAAATTGTTCTCTCACTATTCAGATCTGTGTTTCCTCTCATCGTACTGCCTCAAATGTCACATAGTCTACATTTAACTCTTTTTGCCATAGTCCTAAAAGTAAAGACTGTATCCCATTATCACCATGTTCACAACTGACTGCCCCAACTACACAAGTAGGAATGAGGCTGTTCCTTGGACATCCTGGTACAAAGAGCCTCAATTTCTTTTTTTGTACAGTGGCACAACTACAACTTCACTGTGGTGTGTGTGACATATGCTGGATATGTAATATGCACTGAAAAAAGATGAATCTAGAACCGACCCTCTCCTCATTGTGATGGCAAAGTCAACAGATCATCACTATCTTTTGGTCCTGAAAGTCATCTTAAAATTCTGTCCAGTGTCTTTAAGAAAAAAATTTTTGTGAGATGCTATTTAAAATAGACCTGTTCAATCTGGTTTTCAGAACAGATGTCTGTGATGAACTGCCACCCATTATCAGAAAACACAGGGTGTACTGTCTCTGAAAATGTCAGATTCCTTTTTTGGTCTTTGGTACTGCCATGGTTTGGATACTTGATTTGCTAATTTTTTATCTTGTCATTCCAATAGTATATTTAAAAACATTATAGGTTGGAGCATAGTATATATCTGTGGCATGCACACAGTGTGTGGTATGTATAGAAAAAGCAACAAATACATGTGGATATCTGATCCCTAAAGAAATACATTCAGCATGGTACTCACATGAAATGAGCTCATTGTCAGTTGAATGAAAAGTCTTATATGTCTTGAAAGACCTTCCACCTGTTCATCAGTGATGAAGGTAAATACAAATTCGTGGATCCCCAGCAATGGAATCAGCACAAGTGTAGATCTTGCCAATCTTAAAAATAAAATGATTATGGTATTTCTCAACATCCTTAGTGCAAATTTGATCACATGGAAATTATTCCAGAAATATTCCCTCAAGATAGCCTATGGAATGATGATATTTAGTATTTTGAGGACAAAATCACAGATTTGAATTTCAGAGTACGTTATTAGAAAAGTGTACAGAAGGAAATCTTGGCTTTGGGTTTAGAATAGAAAGTTAGGGATAAGAAATTGGACACAGAAGCCAGTATTATCAAAATTTTGCTGTTAGGTAACAGCATAAATATTTATATAGCTAAATACGAGTGGTCCGTTACCAGGGTTCTCAGATCTTTCTATCCCATCTGAAAACTGGAGAACCTTTGTGTGGCTGCACAAAAAGTTTCCATGATTCTGTTAGAAATTGTCTAACTTTTAAAAATGCAACCAGAATAATTTTAATGAAAGGGAATCTTCTTTAACAAGTCTGGGAACATGTTTAAATGAATGAAAGAAGAGGTATCAAAAGACAGTGAGTTCTGAGAAAGACTTGCAACATGAAGAATTTTAGTTTGAATCTTTGAAAGGCTGAGAGAGCTGGGCCTGTTGAGCCTGGAGAAGAGAAGACTGAGAGGCGATCTCATCAGTGTGTACAAGGATGTGAAGGGGGGGATGTCGAGAGGATGAGGCCAATCTCTTCTCCATGGTGCCCAGTGACAGGACGAGAGGCAACAGGCACAAACTGAACCACAGGAAGTTCCATCTGAACCTGAGAAAAAACTTCTTTCCTGGGAGGTTGCCTGAGCACTGGAACAGGTTGCCCAGAGAGGTAGTGGAGTCTCCTTCCCTGGAGATATTCAAAACCCGCCTGGATGCAATCCTGTGCAATGGGCTCTAGAGGACCCTGCTTGAGCAGGGAGGTTGGACTAGATGATCTCCAGAGGTCCCTTCCAACCTAAACCACTGTGATTCTGTGATTCTGTGAAAGTTTAGCAAGGTTTTAAGCAATATAAAATAGAATATAATGCAAACATCAGGCAATGCTAAATACAGGTACAGCTGTATGTGATTATCATCACAACAATCTTCCTGCAGTGATCTTGAGAATATCGCTGAAATCTTTAGGGGTTTTGGAGGAAAATGGAAATAGACTCCCTGCTTATATAATGAAGTTAATACGGTAATGCCCATTCCCCTTCCCCTCGCCCCCACCCAGCCTGCCCTTGCTGCTTCCACACAGTGGGAAAGTCTTTGTACAGAAGCCATCCCTAAGCATTCACCAAAAACCTGATGGTCCATTGAAACTCTGGCCAAGAGAGTCAGGACAGGGACTCTCAAGAGTGCAGGTTAAGGATAATGATATGATTTGCATTTACAAGAAAGCCAGGGACACTCTTCAGTCAAGACTGTCTGTGTCTATGAGAAACAGGTAGATCAGATAAGCTAATGTTATCCAGGAATGTCCCAGAGATCTCCTGGACCTCCCTTTCTTTTGAAGGCACTTTGTCACACTCAGGGAAAACTAGAGCAGTGACCCCATTGTTACAGTAGCAGACGCCATTTGTGTACAATGAGGATTCCTAACAGCAGGGGTCTTCTTGCATTGCAGACTGCATGAGAAAATGCCCACAACAGTTAGGACACAGGCAATGATCTGTCTTTTGCACTAAGATATGAAAATACAGTTTATGAAGCCTGGTTCTCCATATGGCTTTCATATGCCCCACTCTGAATATCTGTTCTATATTGTCCCTTTATTGGTGGCATGTAAATACATAATCTGCAGGGCACACTAGGAAATCTTTGATCCTGTGAAAATAAAAAGGGCTAGGACTTTGTTATTTATTACATACCTGTATTTGTAATCATGAAAGCTCATTTGCTGGGCTTTTAGTTTGGAAATCAGCAACTTGAGAATTTTTAAGAAGATGCCAAAATTAACCTTGAAAGAAAATACATATTGATTATTTACAAGAAATACTATAACATTATTTATATTGACATTATAGAAATACAAAAGATATTAACTACTTGTAAAACCAAAAGCCTTATGTTAAAAAAAAAAGATACAAAGGTAGGAAACTCAGCACTATCTTATTTAAACCCTAGGTATATATACATTATGATGCATTATCTTTCATTACATGTTTACATTTTAACCCAGAATTGTATTTCATTTGGGGGCTGGATACTTATTCAGAGCTATTTTTCTTGTCTTCATTTGATGTGTAGATATTACTGTTCAAAACCTAGTTCTTGTTCTGTGTAAAGAATCATACAATTTTCATGTACATTTTTATGCTATTTTCTACAAAGGTGCACAGACATACCTTTAAAACATCACAAGGAGATAAGAGTATACTATTCCCTTTAAAAAAATGAAGCTTAAGCATAAAGAGATGGAAGTCCAAAGTGTAAACTCTCACCAATTCAAGGTGCTTTGGTTTGATTTTTTCAGAGTATTTAGCATCATTATGTCATAGAATTAAAGTATCATTCTCATTACTTTAGCTGCAGCTGCAAGTGCTCTGCATTCTCCTTTGTCTGGGCTGTCTGGACATTCAGAAAGTGAAAACCAGAAGTTAGTAGCCAGTTGTGATATTTTGCTAAATAACTTGCCTAGCATTGCCTATGAGCTTGGGACAGAGGCAGAAGTGGAAAGCAATTTTCTGAGGCAGCATTAAACTGCCTTAAGCCCAGGACCATCTTTTTACTTCATGAAGTCCCTTCTTGTCAGTCACACATCTCTTTCATCAAGGCACATGTCTTGCAGACTGTGCGCTCTTGTGCTACTCTGTAGCAACAGTCTATCTTGTGGGCAATTCTTTTGACAAGTTAAAAGATAAAGCTCTGCACATGCACAAGGTGGTTGAGTTCCGTTTCAATGGAAAACTGTACTTCTGGCTTCTTCTAAATTTTAAAATTAAATTTTCTTTTTAGAATAATTTCTGTGTTTGCAAGTGCAAATGATTCATCATAACAAACACTGGAAGGTTTTTCAAAAGCAGAGCTAGTGAGCATTTTCCATCCAAACTTATTTTTGTCAGAAAATTGGGTTTATTCTAAAGATAGTTTTCCACAGTGAATGTCTGCTTTCCACAGAAGATATTGATTGATATTGATACCTCATTGAAAATGGCTGCCATATCCTTGAAAGA